CAACTAAGAGATCACTGGTGAGAGTCATTCAGTGAACAAGGCTGGAAGCCAGGCTGCGAGGGGCTAACGGAGTCTGTGGATGGCCTTTTGATGAGTTTAACTACAAAGGAGAGAAGAAGGTGGAGGCCTCACTAGCTGGCTAATTCAGCGCCTCAGCAGTGACAAGTCATCCCAAAAAACTACCACTTATGATCTTATCCATGTAGACAATTTCCCCAGTCAGTGAAGATGGTGGCACACCACACTCTTGTCTTCTTGACCTGAGGATTCCTTTCCACGTTCTCTCTTGGAACCTCCCTGCCGACTGCACTAAGATGCCTTTCTCTACCTTCAGAAGGTGCTCTCCACCTTCTTTGTGTCCTGGGTCCCTGTGACAGTCTGCTGAAGCCTATGGCTGGACCCCTTCTCATAATCATGGTTTTAAATGCATAAAATGAAATACATAGGATTACAAAAGAAACCAGTTATGCTGAAATAGTCATCAGAACAAGTTAATGGACCCTGGATTAAGAATGAGCTCTAGGTCTTCTGTATGTCCTAGACTCACCTTCATCATGGATAAAGCTCCCCATCCATCCCGAATGTCCACCTTCGTGACGGCATCCCTTCTAGACTGCTGCCTGAAGTCATGCCTGAAAACACGCGGCAGCCCGAGGGCGCTTTTCTTGTTGTGCCGTTGCTTTCTCGTTTACCGCCATGTCAGATTTTTTTAAAGGAGGATGCACTAAAGTTTGCAACCTGACAGCATCACTGGGGAAGGCGTGTCTTTGCAAAAATGGGTTCTTATGCCAGGAAGCAGCAGGGGAGCACAGAAAGTGCTCTGTAATTTCCCAATTTTCTTCCTTGTATTCTGGGCCCATCCACTCATCCATCGCTAGCACCATCCCAAACAAACATATTCATATACAAATTCTAATCTACACAACAGGTGGCTTTCATCCACGTAGCTTCTGTTTGTACAGACTGTTAAACCAATCTCTCCTGTGGACTCACGGATCCCATTAAGCAGGCTCAGTGTCATCCTAAGGCTTGATGTCCTCAACACAAAATCTCAGGTAGGGAATCCTGCCTGTCCTGGGATGCTGCAGAAGATAAGGAAGACCCTGACAATGTCGAACACCTTTGGCAAGTGTGTATCTCTCTGATGTTAAAAGTCAGCAGGGTCACTGAACAGAGTTATCTCTGTACTTGCATTTATGGAGGAATTTTGTATAAACTTAACATATGCATGAAAGATGCCTTGTTGGAGAAAAGCCTTTAAGGCTGTGCTTCCGGTCAAATGCATGTTTTTTCTCTTCTTTCCTTTCTTCCTTCCTCTTCTTCTTCTTCTTCTTTTTTTTTTAGTAAACAACAAACAACAGTCACAGTGGGACCTTGGATTCTTGTCAGCTCTGAGTCAACCCTGAGACTATAAATATGTGCTCTGCTACAGAAAATCATTTGGAAAGGAAGCACATTCCCTTCCCATACTTTCCTCCAGGCTGCCCCTGATTTGTGTAGATCGTTTCAAGGATTTTGTAAAAATCAGGAAGCCCACAGGTCTGTAGTTACTAATGCCTTTTCAGGGTGACATTCCCATGTGGAATGCTTTCTCCACCCTTTCGGTGTTCTCCCTTCTCTGAGACACCTTGTAAAACCATCCTTCAAGGCTGCATGGCTCTTGCATCGACTTCTTCAGAGCACAGTTGGTGGGATCCCATTCCTTCCATGTCCGTTCTACTTCTCCGTACAGCCCAGGTGGACCTGAGGTGGGAGGGACCATTACGGAAGAACTACCCAGTCTGGTCCATTCACTGCTCGTGCGCCAGTAGCGACCCTGATGGAAGCTCTTGGCCCTGCTGCCTCTTGCCCCAAGCTTCTCATTAACTCGCCTCCTCCCGTGCCTGTTACTGCTTTATGCAGCACCCCCGTGGAAGGGGCATCCCCACAGACGAAGTCTCATGGTGACCCTGGAAGCCTGCCTTCTTCTCTAGGGTTTTACAAACGAGTTTATATTCTAAGCTGGCTTTTGCTCATGGCTGCTGTTTGTCTCCACCTGGCAAGGAGGGCATACAGGAGAGGCCTCCGGCAGCCTCCATGCCGTGGATACTACCACGCTGCAGCTAATCTGTGCTAGGATCGAGCCCCTGCTCTCCTCCGTTTCCTGCTCTTGGCAAAGACTCACTTGCAGCTGTCCACAGTCCTCTCTCCCCTTTCTCCTTTCTTCTAGCTTGGAGCTGGTTTTGATTTCTGCTCTAACTCACAGCCTGGCTGCACGCAGAAGGGCTGGTTCAGATGAGATGCCCACATCATTAATCAAACAATCCTATCTGTTAAGGCAGAATCAATTTCATTTTTAAAAATGGATACTCGCTGGTTCACTGGTGTTGGTGTTGGCCAAATCTAACTCTCTTCTGGCAGAAAGTGCCAAGGAGATATGAGCGTATGAGTAACCCACAAGCCTTTCACCTCTTACTTCTCAAGGCTGAGCCAAATTTCCCAACATGCTTTTAGTTTAACTGATGTTCTTTTCTTTTGCAATACCACTTTCAGTGGAGTCCAGAGTTCGCTGAATTCATCAGACTGAACTGGACACTGATTGGATACAACATACTACACCAAAATGAACAGGAGCCCCTGCTCTTGAGGCGGGGACATGATACGTATACAACTAACTGCCCCAGAATGCAGAAGGTTTAAAATGAGGCGTGAACAAAATGTTACTGAAGTTCCAAGCTGGGAGCTATCACTTCTGGTTTGGGGATCGGTTAAGGCCTCAGGCCAAGGAGGCGGGACATGAATGGGGAATCACAGATCACCAATTTAGAGCTGGGAAAGACTTTGGAAATCCTTTAGTCCAATTCCCCCATTTTGCCGACAAAGAAACCGAGCTGGGAGGATGGTACAGGCTGTAAACCGAAGAGCTAGAACTCAGGCCCAGGTCCTGAAAGTTCAGGTGCAGGATCATGCCTGCCATGCCGTGCTAGGAGAAACGGAACAAAAGGGGAGTTCCAGGCCAAACCAATGACCTGCATAAGGGAGGGAGTGGCCTATCGGGGCTTGGTGGGGAAACCTGGACAAAGAGCCCAGGCCCAGATCACGGAGGCTCAGCACCTGCCCGTGTGAGAAAGCAACCCAGGCCAAGATGAGGACACCTCAGCATCAATGGGAAGAGTTAAGTGAACTGTGCCTGTTCCCACAGGGATAAGACTTCAGACGACTAACAGGTTCGCCATGTGGTCTATACAGTTTGAGTGGTCTACAGAGAAAGCTGCTGCCTATCCTTGGATTTGTCTTCTTCTACAGGACAATCGTTGATTCAACAAATGCTTATCAAGCGCCTGCTATGTTCAAAGGGCCACGCGAGTGCAGCTGCTCAGGGGAATCAGAGAAACCACATGGACCCTCATGTCTAACATTACACGTCTGAACACTGCTGATAAGCTCAGGAATATGTCCCCTTTCCACCTGTGTTAAAACAGGGCATGCGGGAGCTGGACAGTGTCTCCTGCTGGCATGGATTTATAGCATCCCCCGTGACAAGCAGCTGAATGCTCTCCACAGTACAAAACAGACTCACCGCTCAATGGAGTAACCTGTGGGCAATACCATGGGTTTTCTTCAGGCATTCCTAGAGGTACCTAACGATTCTGAATGACTAGAAAACGGCAAGAACATCTCGTACCATCCTGGCCGTGCTCCAAGCACCCAAAGCAATCTTACACGAGGGTTTTACCGGAGCCCAGAACGGTTTCTGTAAAGGCACATTCCTTGAAGGCACTGATGGAACACTTCCAGAATGTCACTTCCTTCTCATGGGGGCAGGGGAAGAAATGAAGGGGACGAGAAAACGCAAGCGCACAGAGATCTCACGCTGATGCACTACGATGAACCAAGGCGTCTCTCATCTCTCCATCATCACTTTCTTCTCTGCAGGAGAATTCAGTTAAGCTGTAGGTGCACAGACTGGGCACTGAAGCACCCTGACGGTCTCTAGAGAAGTGACCATTGAGATTAGGAGCTCTCCAAAGAGAATCAGGACCAAAGCAGCCTAATTTCACAGGGCTGTCATTCAGAGGATTCAAAGGTTCTTCTTTCACAAGGAAGAAAGGAAGAAGACAGAAACGGAAGAAATCAGACAGAGTAGGCCTTATAAAAATTATGGAACGAGAGGCTGGTGACCTAACTATATGATGAATGTAGCTGCAAGAAGTGACAACAGCCAATAATGGATTGGATGCACCACCCCTAAAGCTGGTGCAATGGGACCAGAGACATGAAAACTAGGGAGCGGCTTTCTCAGGCTGGAAAAGCCCAAAGGAAGAACCAAGGAGGCCTCATTTCCCATGAGAAAGAACAAGGTTCTACTACCTGCCAAGCTACAGAAATGTGATTAAGACAGAAGTTCTGGAGTACTTGGTGAACAAAAGAGAAAGACCCTATAGCATCAGTGTGGAGAGTTCAAAAACTGTAAGTAATCCAAGTGTCAGTGTTTCATCATGTCTTCCTGGCAGGACTAAAAACCTCTATGGTCCTGTGGATTTTGTTGCACAAAATCTTAGTAGGCTGATTTTTTGGGTTCATCTTAAACTTTTCACATATAAAGCAGGAACAAAATGATCACAGTGCTGGGCAGAGTACACCCACTAGAAGTGCTTTTAATACAAAGTGCTGCCCAAGCATACCTGTTAACCAGGTAATGAGGGAAGTAGCAAATGTTATCATCCTGCTTATCAGACAGAGAAACTGAGGCACAAGGCAGATGATTTGTCCAAGTAAACACTAAACTTAACAGCAGAGCAGAGGTAACGACTGGGAAGGACTGCCTAGGACATGTGCACACCCTACAGGTGCCACCCACTTTTTTCATGGAAGAACTAAGGTAACCTGCTGGCACAGAGATTATCTGTCTCGTAAAAAATTGGCAAGCATGGTACAAAAGCCATCAACTGTGACATACTGTACCTGTTGGTCTTATTTCTCTTCTTTTGAATGCCTAAAACGTGTAAGCTAACACAAACCTGTCACAGTTCGCTGGCCATCAGATAGGGTATTCCACCACTTGTTAATCTAAAACAACAACGGAAACCATGTATTACCTCCCCATGGCACAAACACATGAAAATGGAAATCCAGAAGTGGTAAAACAAAACAGCTGCATCAGTAAAAAAAAACACATCCAAATTGGGGGTGGGGGTGGGTGGGGGGAGAGAGAGACAGAGAGTGTGTGTGTGTGTATGAGGTGCAGGGAGTACTTCATCCTGAAATTAAAGGACTGGAATTTGAAGTTACGCTAGGAAAAGTGTCTCAAATGTCCATGACCTTTGACTCAGAGATCCTATTGCTAGGAATACATTCTATAGAAGCTGCAGACAGAAAGACAAGCCCCATCCATGCCCACCGAAATATTTTTGGCAACTTTTTTTTTTTAAGCAATAAAGAACTAGGAACAGAATGGCTGTCCCTCGACTGGGGCAATGATTCAACACGCTGTGATACGTGGAATGTTACTGCATCATAAATGATGAACACGCTTGATCTAGAGAAGCATGGAAAGACTTACATGAACTGATGCTAAGTGAAGTTAGCAAAACCAAGAAATACAGACAGTGACAATGCCAACAGAAAGAGTCACCAACGATCCGAAGTGAATGCTGCAGAAGTACAAAAAGTAAGCCTGGCCCCAAATAAGGGCCATCAGAAAATATCCCCACGACACTCCTGCACAGCAACAGGAGATCCATGGTGCGAGGCACTGAACACATTTTTAGCCTTTTGAATATAATGACTGGTTTTGCTGACCTTTTTTCTCTTTCTTTACAAAATTTTTTTTTTGTTACATAGGTTGGCTCTCTGGGATGGGGGAAGAAGAAATATTGGGAGAAATTCTGGTGACAGAAAAAAACAAAAGAGATCATAACAATTTAATTTTTAAAAAAGACACTGAATCTCCTTTGGAGTTCTAGTTCTTCCCTTTGGAGTCCAGCGGAAAAAGGCTAAACCCTCTTTCTCAGGACAGTCCTTCTATTGTCTGAAGCAGCTACCAGGTCCCTTTTAAGTTTCTCTTTTCCAAAGCTGGAATGAAGGCAGATAGTGGAAGTCATCCAGGTTTCAGGATTAGCAGGAGAATAAAAAACCAAGGACAAGGGAAAAGGGAAGTCTGGATATAGGATGGCAGCATTTTGAAAATTCTGACTACCATGTCAAGACTTGAGGAGACAGAGGAGAGGTAAGATAAGGGGTAATGGCTTGAAAGGACTGAAGGTCACAACAAAAGTGAAAATCAGACTCAAGAGAAATGATGCTGTTGGAGGTGGAAGGAGGACAGGCAATTGTGACTGGAGAAGGGAATTTAAGGGCAGGGGCATGATCTTAGGTATAACCAGCCAGTAAACAGAGGATGGTGAGTGGAGACAGAGACAATGAGAGTTAGGGAGATCGTAGTGTTTGTCATGTGACTTTATTTCCATCAGGGGCTATCTCTAGATCCCTTGAGAAAGTGGCCTTGTCCTAATACCTCCTTAGGGAGACCAGGTCAGCATTTGCATATATCTATTCAATGTGAAAAAAAATCTTCTGTACATTAGGAAATACAGCTCCTTCACTGACAATAAATCACCTCATTCCCTTTTGGTGTAATGAAATTCCAAAATGTGACGCAGCCTGTGGTGATAAAGAAAACAGAAGGGAAAGAAACAGCATGACCTCGAAGTGAGGAAGCCCTCTTAACCCTCCCTAACCTGGAACAGGTTCCAAACCACCGAGCAGAACAAGAGGGCCGAAACTGCCCTTCTCCCCACCCTTCTATGACCGAGAGAGAGCTACTTTAGAAAAAGGAAGGGAGCACGAGGCCCTTCTCAGTACTAGGGCAGTTGCAGGGAATATATATATATAGACAGAGGGCACAAGGTGAGTTGCATATGAAGGGATGATACCTAAAAAATAAAATTAAGGAGTGAGAGAGAGGATTGTACTGGGAGAAGGAGAAAGGGAGAGGCAGAATGGGGCAAATTATCTAGCATAAAAGAGGCAAGAAAAAGCTTTTGCCAGAAACGGGGGAAGGCGAGAGGGAATGAGTGAATCATACTCTCATCAATTTTTGATTAAGAAGGGAATAACATACACACTCAATTGGTCTTGGAAATCTATCTTACCCTACAGGAAAGTAGGGAAGAAGGGGATAAGAGAGGGAGGAGTGACAGAAGGGAGGGCAGACTGGGGGAAGGAGTAATCAGAAGCAAACACTTTTGAGGAGGGACAGAATAAATGGGGGGTGGGATAGGATGGAGGGAAATATAGTTAGTCTTTCACAACATGTCTATCATGGAAGTGTTTTGCATGACTACACACGTATAACCTTTATCGAGTTGCCTGCTTTCTCAATGAGCGTGGGTGGGGAGGGAGGAAGGGAGAAAATCTGGAACTCAAAATTTTCAAAACGAATCTTAAAAACTGTTTTTACATGCAACTGGGAAATAAGATACACAGGCAATGGGGTATAGAAATGTATCCTGCCCTACAGGAAAATAGAAAGGGAAGGGGATAAGAGAAGGGGGTGGTGTGATAGAAGGCGGGGCAGACTAGGGGAAGGGGTATTCAGAATGTATGCCATCTTGGGGTGGGGAGAGGGCAGAGATGGGGAGAAAATTTGGAACTCCAAATCTTGTGGAAGTGACTGTTGAAAACTAAAACTAAATTAATTAACTAATGAAAAAGAAAAAGGAAGGCAGAAAAGCTCTTAAATTAGTAATTTCTTTCTTTTTTTTAAACTAAAAAGTTAATTAGTAATCAATATTCAGTAATATCAAAAAATATTAGTAATTTTCTTTTTTTTTTTTAAACCAGACTTGATCTAGAAGGCTCATTAGGGACTAAGTGGGAGTCACTGGCTCCACCTTGAACTACGACTGTATCAGGAAGCAAAATGCTGAAGCTTTCTTTTTTGGAAATGCACGTAACGGTTATTTAATCCAAAATGCATTATTTCACACATCAAATGTTAAATATTAAAAAGGAAGTTAAAAGGGACACCTCGCAGCCAGAGCTGCTGTCCCCTATTTGCCCCTCCACATCCTACTGCCACCATGAACCAAACCACCCACCCTGCCGGGAAGGCCACAAGGATCTGCACCCGGAGACATGGGGGGGGGTCCTGAACAAAAGGACTCCCCCACCATTCCCGGGGGTCTTCTCAGTCGTGTTAAGTGCTCACAGTAGGGCCTGGACAGATTCTTGTTGCTGAAAGCAGCACAGCACAAATGCTTTCAACAATCCTACCGACAAAGGAAGCGTCTCTACCTGCTTTCGGAAGCTTCCTTCCTTCTGAGGTGCTAAGCTGTCCAACCAGTCTGCCTTCACAGCGTCAAAGTAGCTCTGGACCCTGGATTTCAGGGATTCATACTGCCAAATAGCTGCTGACCCGAACGCACACCCTGTAAACTACAGATGTTATAAATGTTATAAAATTGTGCAAGTGAAACGGGAAAATGTCTCCCCTCCCATCCTTTCATTTACATTGCTCTAATACACTATCATGTGGGAAAGAATCTATCAACGCTGAATATATGGTAGGTACTTGAAAACTACTCACTGAATAGTAAATTATTTCAATTATTTCCTTTTCCCTAGGTTCAGCTGTATAAATTAGGCCCGTTAAGCCCAGGTAATTTTTAAAAATGGCCCCAGGACAGTTAAAATAGCATTTTATAAAGGAGTCATAGCGTAGCATAGTGGATAAACAAGGGGCCTTGGAATCAGAAGACCTGGGCTTAAGGCCCTCCTCTGACCCATCCGGGCTGTGTGACCCTGGGCACGGCACCTTCTAGCGCCGAAGCGGCTTTCCAAAATGGGAAGTTATGGGGGAGGGAGCTTCCACACACCAATGAAAGCACAGTTCTGCTTCCCCATCCCAGTGCCCCCCAAAACAGAGGAAGATGAGCAGAAAGCCCTCTTGATAGTTCAAAGTCGTATGCCAGGCAGGAGACCCCAGAAGCTCGTGGTATGGCTCCTTCCTTGCAGGGATGCTCTCCCCTGGAGCTGAGCCACGCCCATTGCTGGACCCCAGCTCTGGGCCCCGGGGAGGCCTTGGCCTGACCTCAGCCCAAGCCCATCCAGCAGGACAAGTGTAACAGCTAACTCCAAAGGCAGGCACTCTTACCCCGACAGTAAAAACCAAAGGCTTCACAAGGTTCCTTAGAGGGTAGGGAGATGTATAAAAGAGAGTCTCTTCCACGGGAGGGGTCAAAGCACTTCTCCGATAGCTTCCATTGATTACTCCGCCATCTGGGCGTCGAGGCTCAGTCTTTCTGGGGGCTTTTCTGAATCCATTTTTTGATTGAATAAAGAAGTTAAACCTGGGAAAAAGAAGTCGGGTTAGGAACAGGGCTGTTTTTTACTCACGTGATGCCCTTCAGTGAACCAGTGGCTCACTGTTCCCCACTGAGCAGCCTCACAGGCCAGAGGACAGCACAGGGCTTAGACCTAGGATTTCCTTTCCAGGCCCCAAGGAGACATAATGCAGAAACATGACAAATTAGGAAACTCAGTTTGAGAGATCATAGAATTGTGGATCTAGGGTGGGAAGGAACTCAAGGGGCCATCCCATCTCACAGATGAAGAAACTTAATTTCCCTGGGAAATTAAGTGACTTGTGCAAGGTGACAAAAGTCCTGTCAGAGGTAGGATCTGAACCCAGGTCCTCTGACTCCAGATGACTAGTACTCATTCCCAGAAAGAAGTAAAAACAGGAAGGAGTTATAAGGGGGGGGGGAAAGAAGGAAAACTTTCCCAATTCGGAACTGAAGCATTTTAATTGAGGGCCAATTTCCAGAACATCAGACACAAACATATTCAACTGGAAACACTGTCCTGTGATGCTTAAAAAGATTCAAGAGACCCAGCTTCTGGGTAATTTAATCACTTTCCCAATAAAGCCAGTGTGTTGTTAATAAAGTGATGGTCTTCTGGCCATCTCATTCGGTCTCAGACCAAGGGCAATCATGGCAGCAGACTCACAGCTTACATGCCCTTCCAAACAGTGGGTGGTCTGCCAAGTGGTAATCGAACCTTTTTTTAATTTGCTCCCTTTCCAGCTTTGGGTCATCTCAAACCCGAAAAGTACAGCATCGCGTCTTGCTATTCACACCACTGATAAGACCCTACGTAACTCAGGGACAGGCAAAGACACCTGGAGCACGCTACCTCCTTTCCAGAATGACGACGAACCATTAATTACACCTCTGGGCACGGCCATCCAGCCGGGTCTCGTCAACCTAACTGGTTTATGGTCTAGTCCACGTTTTTTCACCTTTATCAAAAGAAAAGCATGAGCCACTCTGAGGTTACACCTCAGACTCATGGGAAAAAGAGTGAAAGACCAAAGGGGCACACAACAGAGGGGCTGTAGGAAGACAGGAACACACATGCTCTCTTGGTGGGGCTTGAACTGGTCCAACCCCTCTAGAAAACAACCTGTTGAGACATTAGGAAAGTTACTGAACTGTGCATACCCTCTGACCCAGGAATATCCCTACAGGGCATATACCCCAAGATGGCCAAACGAGAAACTTTTTCACCCAACATACACAAAAATATTTAAAGAAACACTCTTTGTGGTAGCAAACAAGTGAAAAAAGAGAGGAGCTTCGGGGGACAGCCACGGTTAGCAGGCATGACGGGATGAAAAACTAGCCAAGGACACTAAGAAAAGGAAGCTGGACAGATGGAAACCGAACCGGGAGAGCAGTGTCATAAAAACCCAGAGGGGAGTGTGCAGAAGAGTACTAACAGCACTCCCGGCTGCAGAGAGGTGAAGAAGGATGAGGACTGAGAAGAGAGAGCCTGGGTAACTGTGGTGGGCACCAGCTGATGATGAGGCCGGAAGCCAGGCTGAAGAGGACAGCAGGATCAAGTAAAGGTTTGCTAAGGATGGGGAAAGAAGGGCATGCATGCAGGCGGCAGGGAAGAGGCCAGCAGACCAGGAGAGGCTGAGGAGAAGTGAGACGATGAGGAGGAGAGAACGAGGGGCATCTGCAGGACAAGATGGGAAGGCTTGGGATCAAGGGCCCAGGCAAGGAGAAGGACCCTGAAAGGAAGGAGGAGAGAACGGAGGAAGATGCCTGAGTCATGTGGGGCAGGGAGGACGGGAGCCAGGTGGGACGTGCACATGTTCAGCAAATGTCCTTATGACAAGGGGGAATTCTATGGGAGTGGAGGGAGTCACCGGAAGTGGCAGTCATATATACATTTTTAAAAACAGATCTTATTACGATCTTGCTTGTACACTGCCTCTATTTCCCATTACATTCTCCTGCGTCATCCACCCTCTCTGAGAATAGCTCAGTTCAAGAATGCTTTAGGTAACACACTGCTTTCCATAACTGTGTTTCTCAAACCCACTGCATACGGTAGGTGATGTAAGTACAATTATGACAACTGTTCACAAACAAGGGAAGAGGTTCCTCAGAGTTACGTATCTTGGCCAAGACCAAAGTTAACAAAAGGCAGATGGAGGGGGCAGCGAGGTGGTGCAGCGGACAGAGCACCGGCCCTGAAGTCGGAAGGACATGAGTTCAAATTTGACCTCACACCAAACACTTGACACTTCCTAGCTGTGTGACCCTGGGCAAGTCACTTAACCCCAACTGCCTAAAAGCAAAAACAAACCAAAAAAAAAAAGAAGAAAAAGACAAAAGGCAGATGGAGTACTTGTAACCCAGATGGTAAAACCTCGCAGTGGGAAAAGACCCTGGAGGTGACCTAATGGAACTTCTACCTGAATGGAGATTCCCTCCCACCCCCAGCATCCCTGAGTGACAGGAGTATTTTAAAAAACAAAGCAACACAAAACCTTTTTTAAAAAATAGAGAATAGCACGAGACACTCTCCAGTGCTTCGGTGACCTCTGGGTGAACTCTATCTACAGCATTCATTCATTCATTCATTCATTCATTCATTCATTCATTCATTCAAAAAGCATGAATCCAACACCTGCTACGTGGCAACGGCTGCACCAGCCCCTCGAGAAGTAAAGACCAGAAAAGAAAATCCTTGTTGTCAGGGTGAAACAACACATACCCAGACAAGCCTGTCCTCAGTGGTGACCAGGGAGGATGCTGCAGAGACCCCAGCAAGGATGGTGGTCAGGTGGAAAAGGAGACAGGAGAGTCAAGGGATGAAAAGGGAGGGGAGAGTGGAGAGAAAGAGGAAGGAAGAGCAGGAGAGAAGAGGAACGGGAACAGGGAAGGGAGGACAGAGATCCTCTGGGCCTTCTGCTGTACTGAGAAAAGCAGCCGACTCTCCCGGAGGAAATGAGGCTAGCCCAGCATGACTTGCTTTGGGTGAAGCCACACGGGCTCCCTGGCAAGCTCCTCCCCCTCCCACCTTCATCAAGGTGCTTCCCAACACTACTTCTCTCCAGTCCTTCCAAACTTCACACTCCCAACGACACCTGAAATTCAACACGTGTCAAACGAAGCTTTCCAAGTGTTCTTCCTTAGGACTGTTCTTTGCCTATGACAGCACCGTTCACCCCATTTGCCATGTTCCTCTGACTCTTCCTCTCCCTCACTTCTCATACCCGACCTGTAATCTGACACCTGTCCTTTGCTCTCTCTACTCCCACTACTATCACCCTAGCTCAAGTCTTCAGCGTCCCGTGTGCACGCGCATGCACACTCGCACAAGCACGTGCAGGCTAAGGGAACAGGACTGGAGTTGCTTTTTTATGTCTCTTCCTACTTCCATTTCCTCCCTGCTCCAACTAAACCTCTGCCATGCCACTAATCTGAAATCTTCCCTGGCTCTCTGCCAAGCAAAGTTCACACTTCTCTGCTGGAACTCGAGGTCCTCCATAACCCGGCATGCCTCCCATCACTCCTCGAGCATCACTCGGTCCCGACACCAAACCCCGACAGCTTCGGGCCTCCCAAACAGGCACATCACTCTCCTACCTCCCTCTGCCTTTGTTCTATCCTCCCCATTTGCACCCACGGACCTCCCACCCCTAAGTTAAAGCCCAGCTGAATGTCAGCGGGAAGTTTCCCTGATTCCCCTAACACTGATGACCTTCCCCTTCAAACCTCGGCCACACCGGGCTTTCTAACTCTCTAAAATACTCAGGCCCTGGCGAGGGAGTCCAAGGACCTGCTTTCAAGTCCCCGCTCTGATGCTTCCTCCCTGAGTGGATCAGACAAGTCAGAGATGGCCCCGAAGGTCCCTGCCGGCTCTATGTCTATGATTCCACGTCCCTCCTGCAGCTGTAATATTTTATCCTCCTACAGGACGAAAAAACTGCTCTGTGGGTCAAGACCATTTCTTGCCTAAACTTTGTACCTGCCCCTGATTGAATCCAACCAGGGTTTAACAGGTGCTTACTACCTTCAAGGCCCCGTGTGCCCTAAGTGCTGAGGCTATACAAAAGAAGACAAAAGAAGAAATGGGTGACAGGCAGCCATCCACTGGTAGCAGGCACTTAACAAAGAATGACTCACTGAAAGACAAGAAGGTCCTTGCCTCATTTCACACCGACACTCTACCTTCTGCAGAATCACAAGCATAAATTCAACATTCTGTAATCTGTATTTCCCGGTGGACATGTCATCCAGTTGCTAAATAAACATGTTTAACTTACAGTTTTCTGCAAATCCATTTCTATAAAATCTGCTAACGCTCAGCTCAATGTTGTGTTTTTCCAGAAAACATTTCCACATTGGTTTTAGCATCCTTGGGATCCTCCCACTTGCACACATCCACAGAATGACTGAGGCCCTAGATCTGCAACACTGTAACTGTTTTCAAGGTGAAACACCCTTTTCCCTCAGTGGATTGCAAAAACTACAAAGCCTGTTTTCTGTTTCCTTTCTAGTTCTTCTTTCTGCCTAGTAGCCGTGATGTGATTTTATTTTTGGACCTGCAATGCCACAAATGCAGGGAACTCCTGGTGTGGAAACTTCTTCCACAGATGTTGATCAGCAACTTCCGGGTGAGTTCTAGTCTTTTGTGTCCTGGGGGCACTTACAGGCTAAGTGATGCCCTGCCCCCCCAAGGCATAAAAGGCACATGTTCAAGCCAGGTTTTCCTGTCTTCAAGGCCAGTCCTCTCTCCACTATACCATGCTGCCTTCCTAGATGGCACACACACACTAGCACACACACTATGCTGCTGAATATCAAGAGGCCAAACTGAGTGATTTTTTCTGAAACGTAGCCTGGATGACACACAATGTCCTAAGGGATGGGGCAACAGCCTGGGAGCGATGAGATCTGGGTTCCAGTCTTGCCTTTTTCACTGAGTGGCCCCAAGAGGAAGGGCTGCGCTGACTGGTTTCTCTGTCTCCCAATAAAAACCTCACGGGTTTGTTGTGCGGATCACAGAACTGAGAGCTGGCAGAGACCGTAGGGGTCACATGGAGTAAAGGCCGAGTGTTTTATAAACTACAGGTAGAACAGCACAGGACGCACCATCTGGCTCACAGTGTTTTAACAACACAGATGCGCCTTTGCTTCTGGGAAAAACTTGGGATTCTTACTGTATCAAGTAATCTCTCAAATGCAGGCGTTTGCTCTTTCTCCCGTTCATTCTGGGTCTGCCTGCTTTGCTCCCCGTTGGCAGTGTCTGTCCAACACCTACATGCTGATGGACCAGCTTAACAGGCAGCCCCCAGCTGCTTCAGCTGGACACCTGGACACCAGGCACTCTACCCACCTGAGGGCCCTTATTGTACTTTTATGGTTATTCTAGAAGCTAAAGCCAAATGAACACAATGGACAGGAATTTAGGGGAAGCTCAGGGATTCAATTCGATCAAAGTTGGCTGCCATCGCTGACCTTTTCCACCACTCAGCAAGGCACTGAATCTTTTTCGGTCCCTCAGTTTCTTCCTCCACCTCGCCATCATAGTATAACACCAACATCAGAGAGAGAAAAGTATTATATTGTACCATCGACTTCCAATTACTTGTAATCCAATTTGTGAACTGCCCAAGACTGAGAGATCTCCTTTGCACCCTGACCCAGTCAGCTGACCAGCCAACACCAAAAGGGAGAGAGGCCAGGAATAGGTGGCCACGAATACCCCTGTCTACATCTCTGACGGCAGGGCAAAGGCAAGTCTGGACAGATTATTCTCTCTCCACCAGGGTAGGAAATCTGGAGTGGAACTCTGAGAGTCCGCATTTGTAAACGCCCTGAAAGTCCCCTTGAAGCAGGCTCGCCTGAGAGCTGTGCCTCTTACTGCTCAAACTTGTTCTGTCTCATTTTCTCCCCCTGCAAAAATACCCTGGCCCCAGCCTCGGGCTTGGAAGAGACACCTCCAGGAGTCTCCCCTCCAACCGACTGCGGCCAGAGGGGCCAGTCCCGCCTCCAGGGCTGATGCAGCCACCCTGTCTTCACATCCCTGCGCCCTTCCCCCTCCCCTGGACTATTCCAACAGGTTCCTAACTGACCCCTCTGCTTTCAGTCTCTCTCTAGCTCATGCTGCGTGCACACTGCCTCCAAGCGTGCATTCTAAAACCCTAATTTAATTTTACAAAAGGAACGTTCGGGAGTACTGTGGTCTGTGCAACAAAAAGCCTATCCCTGCACTCAGTCCTCGCCTCTTTTTCCACTTTATCTCCTAAAGCTCCGCTCCCGTGAACTGTTTCTACAGCAAGACATTTCATCTCCCACCTCCGTGCCTTTGCACAGGCTGCCCCCTCCACGCCAGGAATCACTCGGCCTCCACTCAGTCCTATGTACGCCTGCTGTTTACTCGTAAGCGCCCCTGCGAGGACGTGGCGGAGTCCCGTGCACACAGCAGGCTCCTAATACTCGCTCAATGAACTAATTATGCACAAAGGAGAACGGGGAGGACAGAGAAGAGAACTAGGAGAGAGGAGGAAAGAACAAGCATTTATTAAACGCCAACGATGTGCCAGGTGCACAAATATCTCGTTTGAGAGAGAGAAGGGGAAAGTAAGGCATGATAGGAACTGTCCTGGGGAGGGGCCCGGGCAGAGCGAGGGAAGTAGGGTTCTGAAGGCGGAGGACTGAGTGACCTTGGACCAGTCACGAGCCTCTCTGGGCCTCAGTTTCTCCCTCTGCACAACTAAGGGCTGGGACCGGGTCAGCTCTAGGGTCCGGTGCTTGGGATGGGGGGGGCCCGCAGGGAGCGGAGGGACAAGCTGGGAGGCAGGGGTTAGGAGTCGGGGTCATCCGGACCGGGGGGAGAGGAGGGGAGCCGTGCGGGCCGGGGGATGCCCGCGCCCAGGCCGCGCCCAGCCTCGGCCCCGCCCTTACCTGGGGCCCAGCAGCAGGGCGGGGGCCCGGTCGACGCACAGCTCCCGGCCCTCGGCCCCCGGCGCCCCCCCACGCCGGGCCACCGCAGCCCCAGCCGCTCCGAGCCCAGGCTCTCCACGCCATCTTCCCGACCTCCGCCCCCCATGTCCCACCCCTTCCTCCGCCGCCCTTTGCACTTCCGGGGCGTGCTTCCTCCCCCCCCCCGCCCCGCCCCGCCCCGCCCCGCCTCCCTTCTCGGCCGGCCGTCCTCGCCCCCTGGCGGCAGCGGGGGGAACAGATCTGACTGGGTTCCTCTGGAGGGAGGGCGGGCTCTGTCTCCAGGAAGACGAGAGGGCGGCTTCTGTCTCCAGGGAAACGCGCAGACACGCTTGAGTCAGCACGGTCCTACGTGACCGCTGTGCAGTTATCCATGAGCAGTGCTAAGGGTTCTACGCACAGCTTCAGAGCCCGCAGCCCCCCAGCTGCCATTCCCCCAGAGAACCCTAGGGACAGAGCAGCTCTGGATACCGTGGCCTGGAGTTGGGGTCAGAAGCTAGCCTCTGCCTCAGTTTCCTCATCTGCTGCTGTGCCACCTGTGGGTCTCGCTGTTTCCATCTCCTGGCCTTCTAAACTGCTCCTCTGAACGCCTGTCCCCCTCCCCCAGGAGAAGGCTATCATCTCTTTTAACTTATCCACACAAGGATCATATCCGCTCTTTTGTGATTCAGCCAACCCAAGAAACCTGTCTTTGGGGCTCTTCTGCCCCTGCTGCCTCACCCCTTAAAGCCAGTCTATTCTCTGAGGTCTGTTTAGTTTTGGACTAAATTTCTCAACGAAGATGATGTAGAAACTGTAAGAAGTGGATGCTGGATCAGCCAGTACACCCTTCTAACATGTCAGAAGCAGGGGTATCTATGACAATATGAAAGAACAGGAAGAAAACAATTGAAATAATGCTGCAAAATTATCCTGACCAAGCTTGGCCTCAAAGAAGAAACAGAACAGTCCACCCCCCCACCCCCTGCTTTGCAGAAGTGGGAGAACACAGGAGCAAAACCCCGAATGTAACAGAACCCTCAATATGTTCTGTTATTCTTCTGAAATTTTTTTTTTAATATTAGAAAGGATGGCTTTCTGGGAGAGAGTGGGGGCATAGATACAGTGGGAATGTAGGTGAGGTAAAAATGTGATTATCAATAAAATTAATTTTTAAAAAAGATGTAAAGTACTGAGTGAGATTACTGGGGAAATGGTCATTAATGATTGGGGACGGGAAGGGCATCAGTGAAGGCTGGGATGGGAATGGGGGTATGTGAGGCATTTGAGGCAGAAGAAAGACCCTAGAGTCTGAAGATCACAGATTCAGCACTGAAGGGGCTCCAGAGGCCATTTAGTCCAGCCTCGGACTCCCTCCCCTTTTAAAGATGAAGGAACTGAGGCCCAGAACAGTTCATTGACTTGCTCAAGGTCCCACAAATATCAGGTTGTCTAGGTTACACAGTAGTTAGAGCATCAGGCCTGGAGTCAAAAAGACTTGACGTCAGATCCTGCCTCAGACACTTACTAGCTGTATGACCCTGGGCAAGTTCCTGAACCTGTTTGCCTCAGTTTCCTCATCTGTAAAACGGGGATAATAATAGCACCCACCTCCCAGAGTTATTGTGAGGATAAAATGAGATAATTGTAAAGCACCTAGCACAGTGCCTGGCACATAGGAAGCCCTAAATAAATGTTAGTTATTATTAATTTGTACCCACGGCTTCTAACTCCAGAGCCAGCGTTCATCCCTAAAAGTACAGAGGTGGACAGCTGAGGGAATGGGCAGAGCATTCGGGTTCCATCAGAAGCAGGGGTCATGGTCTTGGATGGGAGATCAAAGAGCCAAAGACCAAACTTTTTCCTGAGGCATCTACAGCCCTCAGAGGAGCAAATCTGGTCAGCAGTGCACTGAAAAGCAGAGGAGCAGCTCAGGATCCAAACCCCAGAACCACTCAGACGAAGAAAGATGGGCTGAGGCAGAGGAGGGGAGGTGACTGCTCTAGAGAGACGGTCGTGAGGCACTGAATGGAAAATGGACCTGGAGAGACACCTGGTGGACAGACAAAGATGCCAAAGACAAGAAAGGGCCCAAGGATTTGCTGAAGGAATGAAAACGCGCTAAGCACTTACTACTGTGTTAGATAGTGGGGATTAAAAAAAAAAAAAAAAAAAATTTCAGACAATCTCTGCCATAGAGTAGTTTGCATTCTAATTGGATGAGACAAGGCATTTAGGAGGATTCCAAGGCAGGGCAGATGGAAAGGCTCAGACATCCTAAGGGATCAGAAGCAGGTGAATGGGAAGGTCGAGAGCTCTGGGACTTCATCGGCAGGTCACATGGCACTGCTGGGCATCTGGATCTAGTCTCGTGGCAGGTGGTAAGCCCTGGGGGAACTCAGGATACATCTATTCCACGTAGGACTGGGCCATCCAGGTTCAGGAGGTTGTCCCTCCCTTGAAACCCCCCATCAGCCTTTGGTGAATATAATTACAGGGGGAGTGATGGGAGTTTATTTGCCTGGAATGCCCAACTAGTGTTGGATTGGAGACCATGATTTATGGCTAAGTGTTACAGAAAGTGGAAGGAATACCGTTTATCTTCATAATTGCTAGGAAGCTTTTCCTTCTATCAAACAGACTCTTCTGCCCATTGAGTCAACGTCCTTTGCAACATAAACTCAGTGCTAACAATGGACAAGGCAGTGTCCAACAGGACTATGACGTCTCTCCCCCAGGACATTATGCTTCTGTTAAGGAAGCCCAAGATCACTTTATCTTTCCTGGGGGGACTGCTACGTCACACTCTTGATGAGTCTGTAGTCCTCCAAAAACCTCTTTTGTGTGAATAACTCTGTGACCATGTTAGCAACACTCCTCTCTTCTTCAGTCTTGTACTTCTTGAGTTAAAAAAAACCCAACAGAACAAAAACAACAAAACATTTATCTCTATTCAATTTCATTTGCAATGTGGCACAGAGGACATGGACTCAGTCTCACAGTCCATATATTATTCTATATTACTATTATTCTATATTCGAGTGTATAATAACAAACGGCTAACCATGCAGAAAGTGCCCACTTGCTGAGGCTCACCCGGCTTGTTAAGGGATAACACCAACGCAGCTCTGGCCTGTTTGCATAACAGATGAGAAGCTAGACTCAGAGTTGGAGAGCCAACGGCCAGATTCCTCTATCAAGCAGAAAGGCTGGTAGCTGCTAGGTAATGGAGAATAAGATGGCCCTGACGGCTCCCAGTTGGGAACACCTGGGTTCTGTTTCTGACACTTAACAGGCTGTGTGATCCTGGGCAAGTCACCAGATTTCTCAGTGACCCAGCCAACTTTCTCAGACTGAGAAGATGTTGACCCGTTCTTCCACGAGGTCAAGGTCTGATTTTGTTTTTTAAGACCCTATGTGATTCCTCCCAACCCTGCCTCTCCACCCCTGACTTGGGATTCCAGAAAACAGCCCAAATGGAGGGTCTAGAACTTGGAGGGAATGGCCATTTGGTTCCTCCCTTCATTGTACAGATAAAGAAACTGAGGCATAGAGTGTTTCCCTCCAGGTCCCCCCAAGCAGCTGAAGCCAGAACCTGGATTCTCACCCAGGCCTTCTGCCTTCACTTTTAGGGTTCGGTTTTTGTACCCTCTGCGGTCCTCAACGTTTTGGTTAAGTCACACTTCTGCTCCAGAGTACCCCAAACCTCCGTAGCCCTTCAAACCCCAGGGATGGCTCTGGCGCTCCCCTCCCCCCGGGGTCTGCTCCAGGCTCCCACGGACACGGTCCCGGGTGGGAGAACAGGCCACGCTAAGGTCGGCCTCCGGCCGCGGCTTGGAGGGCGTCAGTCCCGGGGGGGCCTTTTCTGGAGGGCGTCCTCGTACTTCTGCAGCTGAGCCCAGAAGCCCGGGTTGGGCTCGGCCACGGGTCGGGCCTTCTTCACCACCTGGAGGGGCGGACAAGCACCGTGAGGCAAGTGGGGGGACCCTGGCCGCACCCCCTTCCTTCTGGGCTCAGTTCTGCTCGTTTGGAGGCATGGCTCGGCAGAGGCCGGCGGCCAGGGCTTGGAGGATGCCCGGAGGACTGGCCCTCCACCCACCACGGGAGACTCTCTGAGTCTTGGACACGAGTGGGGCGAAGGAAAAAACATGGGTGGGGGGACCCGCTGCGTCGGAGACGGTTAGCAGTCTCCCTACTCTTCTCATCCAGAGACTCAGGGCAGCCTTCCCGAGGCCCCACCCTCCTCGGGCACTCGAAGCCCCGCCCTAACCCCGCGCCCCTCCAGGCCCCAAAGGACTGCCCACCACCCCAGGTTCACTCCGCCCCCTCACTCAAAGCCCTGCCCCAAGGCCCGCCCCTCCTCACTCCAGCCCTGCCCCCACTGGGTCCGGCCCCGCCCTTTCTCCCGGGCCGGGCCAATCACCGAAAGCCCAGCCCCTACCCGCGCAGCCCCGCCCACCTGGAAGGCCTGCTCCAGACTGAGGCCGCCATGCCTCATGAGGTAGGCGGTGCACACGGCGGCCGAGCGGCTGCGGCCGTTCTTGCAGTACACGAGGCACGTGCCGCCGGCGCGCGCGGCCGCCTCCAGGGCGGCGCAGCAAGGCTCCAGGTGCGTCAGCAGGTCCTCGGCCGGGTCGTCGAAGATGGGCACGCGCAGCGTACGCACGCCGGGCGCGCGCGGGCACGGCTGCTGCCGGGTCACATTGACGCAGAACGTGACGCGCTCGCGCGCCAGCAGCTCCGCGTCCGCGGCCGCACGCGCTGGGCCTAGGAGCAGCCACGGCGTGACCCGCGCGATCCGCCGTCCGGCCTCCGAGCCCGTGGCCTCCGCCGGGCCTCCTGCCGGAGCTGCTGGCTCCCAGTCCATAGCGTCGGCTGTCCGGAGCTGCCCCGCCGCCCGCCTCTCCCGCGTGCTATATTTATCGCAGCCGCCCGCACTCCCCCCGGGGTCCTAGTGCCGGCTCCGCTCCTCCCCCACCAGCGGGGGGGGGCGGGGAGGGAGGGAGCCCTGGGTTCAAATGAAAGCTCCTTCCAATTCTGGGCCTCAGTTTCCCCGTCTGTAAAAGGAGGAGGTGGGGGCCTCTGAGGTCCCTTCCTGCTCGGGATGTGACACACACGTGGACCTCCAACTTGGGACTCCCTTTTTTACAGATAGGGAGACTGAGGCACAGTGGGGGGAGAGGAATAACCATGCATCCCTCTGCACTTTGTAGCAATGGTAGGAGAACTATGGAGAGGAGAGAGAAGAAAAGACACCGGGAGTGAGGAGGGGCCGTAGATGCCTTGGGTTCCAGGGGTACCTCAGTGACTGCTCCTCTCTCCCAGCCTGGGCCAGAGAAGATGTCCCGGAGGCAATCCTTCACTTAAAGTCTGACTGCAGAAATTCACCAAAGGCCATTCCAGGTTCCTGAAACCGAGGAGGTTAAACGGCCCTGGTTAGCCATCCTGTGATCCCAAGGGGAGGCCGGGCATAGCACAGGGAGGTGTGTGCTTGCCAAAGGCGGTCACCCCTTCCGTGAAGGACATTCCCAGCAGAGTCCAAATCCAAGTGGGATTCCCCATAGGGGATGAGGGCCTCCAGAAGCTCCCCTTTGTGGATGAAGTTATGCTGGTTATGTCAAGACCCCCAGATACTGCAGATCCTCCTCAAAGACAGCCGTTCAAAAGAAGTTTGGTCCAGCCATCCACATAGGAAACACCAAGTGGATGAAGAGTGTCAATTGCTCAGATTATGACAGCATTTGTATGTACAACCTCTAGATGTCTAGTAATATGTATATCTGGGATAGACAATACATATAGAATATGCTGCTGCTAAGGCGGTACATTGGGTAGATCCTGGAGGGGGAGGGACAATTGGATTTGATGGTCTCAAAGGTCCCACCCTCCCAATCTAAATACATGATTCTGGAGGAAAACCAGCAGGATTGCCTTCAGAAAACTGCAAAACTCTTCTAAAATACTGTAAGCTGCTCCCCAAAGCAAATCTTTTTAAAGCCATCATTCTGTGGGTATTGCTGGATGACAGACATGGAGTCCAGCAGATTGGACGTGGAGCTCAAGGGAATTGAACGTGAATATCACACAGAGGACCAAAGGGGAAGGTGCAGACTTCAACCTTCAACAGGTATTTCAAAGAATAGAAGTAGGAGATGTCATCAGGGAAATTATGAAAGGAGGAGCAGATGGGCCAGTCAGTGGGGGGGGCATTGGATAACAGGCGGGTGGACAGCCAGAATGTTGTAATCATATCCTTGTGATATCAGGAGAAGACAAGGAATGCCTGCAGCATGTTGGGTGGACCCCTTGTAATGAACCTATGGGAGGGCATGAGTCACTTAGGATGGTTTGCTATCTGCAGTTTGGAGAGAAATGTCCAAATTAATGAACTCTCAGATCTGAAAGTAACTTATAGCATCATAAAAAGATTACTTTCATTAATAGTTCTCCATGCGTTTAAGCAGCTGTTTACATAGGATTTGGAAGTAGAAAGGATTTTAATTATCAGTTCAATTCATCTTGCAGATGAGGAAACTGAGGTCCAGAGAAGTGAATTCACTAAGATCATTTAGTTGGGACTCCAACCCAAGTCCTTTCCATCAAAATCCGTTGCTCTTTTGACTTCACCATGCTGCCTTGGATTAACTTGTAGTTCAGACTGGCACATAGTAAGTGCTTTAAAGTTGCCAGTTGACTCAGTGACTTGTGCTCCCTCACTACACCTTGTTGGGAGAATGGGGAAGGAGAGATGTAGTCTCACGAACTGGGACGGACCAGAGTAGCCTTCCAATACAATCCAATCCATATCTGAACAGGACTCACCTCTACAGCTTCCCTGACACGGGCTCAGTCTCTGAAGGCCTCCAGCGCGGGAAAACCTGTTGCTTGGTGAGTCATCATTAGCTTGTGAGTTTCTTGGGGACAAACACTGCCTTTTGTCTCTTTTTGTGTTCTTAACACAGTGTCTGGCCCATGGGAGACGCTGAATAAATGTTTGTTGATTGGTCGATTATCCGGCAGCACTCATTGTTAGGAAGGGATTTATTTGTTTATTTGCTTGCTTATTCATTCATTCATTCCTTCATCAACTTGAATTGTGCCCTCCTTCACTTTTCTCATACTGTCCCAGGTTCTGCCTTCTGGGCCTAAGAAAATGTCTTATCTCTCTTCCATGGTATATCTTTTGAACTACTTAATGATGTCGGGCTTATCCTCCCTTCTCCCCACTATCCTCTAGCCAAAGTTCCCACTTCCTTCAGGCAGCTCTCTTGGAGTGGTCACCAGGCCCTGCTTTGGCATGATCTCTTGCCTCTGGCTGGATGCACTCATATATCAACATGGCACTGAAATTGGACATGACTTCTCCGTTGTGGAATGTTCTGGTCCCTGATTCTCTCTGAATGTAGCCTAAGATCCTTACAGTTTTTCCAGCTCCTGCCTCTCAGGGTTGATTCTCACTAACACCCTCTGGATTTTTGTTTCCACTCAGATTCATCCAGCTCTATTTTCATTTGTGAAGCTGTTTGTTTGCCCAGCTACACACATTTATCCCTTTTAAACTCAGTCTTATTATATTCAGCCCGTTGCCCTCTCCTGTCAGCCTCCTTTGGGATCCTGTTAGCCAGTGTGAGGTATTGTTTTGAGCTTTCTGTTATCCGCAAATTTTATAAACGTTCATTCCCTTATTCAAGTCATTGGTGAAAATTGAGCTGCTGGCATGGCGTAGTGAAATGGTGCTGGAGCCTCCGGCCCTAATCTTGGCTCTGCCGTCGTCTGAAGGGGCACCTGTGTGATCGGGGAGGTCATTTCCCTTCCCTGGGTATCAGTTTATTTATGAAACAGGGGGCTCAGCCCAGTCTAGTCAGCAAACATTTCTTAGGGGTCAGGAAAATGCAAAAAAAACAAAGAAAAACAAATGCAAACAATCCCTGCCCTCAAGGAACTTAGATTCTTATGGGGGAAGAAAACAACCCTTAAGAGAGCTAGAAAGGGAATGAAGTGATGGGGATAAGAAATACAAACCAAAAAAGAGAAAGAAAGATAATCCTTGCTCTCGGGAAACCTACATTCTAATAGGGGATGGCAGCATAAAAAAGGAGCTGGAAAGAGGGTGGAGGTGGGAGCGAGATGGTCAAGCCTGGAGAATGGAGAGCAAAATGGAGGCTCAGGAAGAACTCTACAATGGGAGAAGAAGGCTGAAACATCAGGAGCAAAGTCCAGAGAAAGGAGCTCGATTCCTGCCAGCCCTTCCTCTCGATATCAAAGTTTTCTTCTGATTTTAAATCCAGTGAGCAGAAGGCTACGGGCAGATTCCTGAGCGATCCTCCAAAGACTTCCTTCCCCGTTGCTGTGGACTCATCAGCGACTCTTTGGGGCCAATTGTGAATCTGCCTGGCCATACCATTGCTAGTCCTGTGCTCTTGTCCACAAAGAAAGACTTCATCAAGTAAGCTGAAGCTGAGAATCATAAAGAATCTCAAATTTGACTGAATTTTAGGGAATAATAAACAATATTATGAACAGTATGAATATGAAAGATTATGAATAATTTATTGAACAACTTGAACCTAGGATCCAGTGCACCCACATAGTGGTTTTAGATTCTGGGGTCAGGGGGCAGCTAGATGGCCCAGTGGATAGAGCACTGGCCCTGAAGTGTCAGGAGGACCTGAGTTCAGATCTTGTCTCAGACCAAACACTTGACACTTAATAGCTGTGTGACCTTGGGCAAGTCACTTAACCCCAATTGCCTAAAAAAAAAATAGATTCTGGGGTCAGAAGACTTGCATTGGAATCCCACCTCTGCTACTTAATACTCTGATATTGGGTAAGTGACCCCCCAGGGCTTTAGTGTCTTCATCTGTGAAATGAGGAGGTCAGACTGGATCACATCTAAGGTCCCTAACAGGATATAACCTCATTTCTTTTGGACCTTACCCATTCGAAATTTGTGACATTTGAATTGAGGTCGAACTGAAATTTAACTTTGTTCTGTTTCTGAAGGGGGAGCTAGGCAAATAATATAAACAAGATTTCACTGAGCATTTTGACTTGAGAGTGTTTTAAAAAGACACCAAGCACTTTAGGAACATACATATATAATATGTGTGTGTGTATATGTATATATATAGACACACACATATATATATATATATATGCACACACATATATATACATGTATTTAGAAGTAATTGTTATGCCAATTACAAATCATTACTCAATAAAGTGACTTCTTAAGGACTTTCATTGAGATTAGGTTATCCTAGTTCAAGTCAGTGTACATACTTAAAAGTCATAACCCAGTGCACCCTGAAAAGGCCTCCTTATATTTTTCATTACTTCAGATCAGTCTTTCACAATCTGTGGGACTTGAGTGAGCTACTCGAGGTAGGCACAGCCCCATACCACCACTCAGGAAGTGCTTTCTTGCTTGATGGCCTCAGTTATCATCTTTTGAGGGAGAACATGTATGCCCGGTGCTTTATACTGACATCCTCTGGCTTAGCAGATCTCACACTGTGATCTAGGAACCCCTGGGACTTCCTGAGACATTTACAGGGAGGTTCGCGAGGTAAAAACTATTTTCATTATCATAATAAGACATTTTGATTTTTAATATGATAAAAATCAATAGAGATAACCCGTGTAAATAGAAGCACTTCACACAGTGCCTGGCACATAGTAGGTGCTTAATAAACATTTATTGATTCATTAACAAAAGCTCTTTTGGAGGTCCTTGATAATTTTTAAGAGTGTAAAGGGGGTCCTTAGACCAGAAAGTTTGAGAACTGCTGCCTTAGCTCACCGTTTCCATGCATGGGATCAGGTTGCACATTGCTGTGATTTCTGTCTTTGGGGGATAGCAGAGTAGTATCTGTGACGTGCCTGATGTCTGGATGGTTTTATTTTTTCCTAATTGTCTTGGTTTTACATGGATTTCATGGAGGCTATTTCTACAACCCAGACTTCTCTAACAAATAAAAAAATTCGATTTAATCATTGCTAGCATTTATATTCTCTTCTTGAGTTCAGATTTGGCTAGCTTTGTGACCTTGGGCAAGTCACTTAATCTTGTTTGCCTCTATTCTAAATCTGAGAGCTGGAGAAAAAAATGACAAACCACTCTATTATTTTTGCCAAGAAAACCCCAAATGGGGTCACGAGAGTCAGACATCACTGAAAATGACTGAACAGCAACAGCATTTATGGGCATTGAGGTTTGCAGAACACTTTGTGTATGTTATCTAATTCAGCAATCCAAATATTAATATTGAAGAGCTCTTGTTGGTTGGTTTTTTAGTATATCTTATTCTTCATGACTGACCCCATTTGGGGTTCTCTTTGCAGAAATACTTTGCCATTTCCTTCTCCAGCTCATTTTACAGATGAGGAAACTGAGGTAAACAAGGTGAAGTGACTTACCCAGGGTCACACAGCTAGTAAGTGTCTGAGGCTAGATTTGAACACAAGTCTTTCCAATTCCAAGTCTGGCTCACTGTTCATTGTGCCTGCTAGCTGTCTTCATCTTTACTATGTGCCAAGTTTTGTGCTCAATGCCAGGGGTACAATAGAAAAGGCATCAGTCTCCACTCTCAAGGAGCTTACACTCTAATGGGGGAGTGGGAGGGCCAGTGTTTGCATGTAGTAAGTCACTGGTTTGGTGAGGAGATGTCTTAGGTAGAGGCCCTGATAATGTTGATTTGATAGGAGTTCTTAGAGCTGGAGGCAGAGAGAGAGAGAGAGAGAGAGAGAGAGAGAGGGAGAGAGAGAGAGAGAGAGAGTGTGTGTGTGTGTGTGTGTGTGTGTGTGTGTGTATGTATGAGGGTAAGGGGGTGGGGGGCATGGTCCCAGTACAGAGCTGAATAGTTTAGCTCCTCCAGGCACGGTTTCTGAAGGTCTGGTTTGGAGGGTAGGCCAACGTCAGGGTAGAAATAAAATTCGTAATAAGGTTGCATTTGTGTAGAACCTTCTGTGTGCTAGACACTTTATAAATATTGTCCGATTTGATCCTCACAACAGCTCTGAGAGGTAGGTGCTATTATTGTTATCATCATTATTATTACTGTGAGAGATGGTCTCTCAAAAGTGAAGCCTCCTCACAGGGCCATTAGTTCTTGTTAATGGCTCTGGTATTGTTGCTTTTGAGTGGTACATGTGGACCAACACTAAGTGGAGACCCCTCAGAATGCAAGACCCCCTCCCCTAGCCTTCTCCCTCTCCTACTCTTGGATAGCGTTAGCAGAAATTCCTGAGACATGGGAGCATCCTGTCTATCTCATCCTCTAGCTGGTTGTATGACCTTGGGTAAAAGACTGCTGAAGCTGTGAGGCCCTGAAAGGGGGAACGTGCTAACACAATTTCTGTACCTCTTTGTTCTCTCTGTTGCTGGGGTAGTTTTTACACGAATAGATTGTACACCTGAGGCTCAGTCAATGAGCCGACGGGAAGGGGGTTAGGCTGGGCTGCTATGTTGGGATCTATGTAGTCGTGCCTTGAACAAAGAGCACTTGAACTCCCGGGGCAGCTGACGCAGCGTGGGGGTGCACTTTCTCGAGAAAGTCAGTGAAGAGATCTCTCCTTTTGCAAACTTTTGTCAAGACTATGGTTTTTTTAACTGAGTGAAACAATGTAAACAGTGTGAGATCTCTCAGGTGGACTGAGTGTAGCAATGTCTTAGACTGTTACAAACTCAAGGTTGGTGACACTAGCCTCAACAGGCCTAAGTTTCAGGTTCCTAGAAAACACATGATTTGTACTGTTACATCAGCATTAAGTAATGGCTAATTACTAAAAAGGATAAAATAGCTAGGATTGGTAGTATTGTAATGAGATTCCTCATTTCTGGGGTAGATTTTTGTGTTTTAGATTGTAAGGCTGAAATTCCTGTC